TTGTGTCTTTGCCAGCTATTCAACAAGAACTTAACTCGGCTCTTTTCCCTAGATGCTGAAACATCTGACGTCATCAGAAAGATCAAAGTGGGAAATGGAATGTGTATGTACCAGTCAATTCACTGCTGTCAATTATTCTTCAAAGAAGCTTTTTTTAAACGGCCTTTTTCAAACTAATTTTAATGACAACCAATCGCCTGTATTTTTGTGGTATTTATTTATATTTTTCCTTTCTTTAAACTATAGAATAAAAGAGTAAAGAATAAAGAGCTGGAGATGCAAGAAAGATATTTAAAAAAGACGGAAAGATTGGCGCAGGTTAAGGATATCATACAGGTAGGCCGATTTTGTTCAGCATCTGTTGTCATTTATGCAGGGCTCGCACATTAGGGTGAGGATTGTGAACCAATGTTAAAAAGGTGAATTGATTTTGAAGTTATATTGATGTCAGACTTAGGCATTCTGAAAACTAAGTTGTAAGTTGATTAGCTGATTAAGTTGATTAGTTGATTTAGTTGATTAGTTGATTTAGTTGATTAAAGTGATTAGTTGATTAAAGTGATTAGTTGATAAGTTGATTAAAGTGATTAGTTGATTAAGTTGATTAGTTGATTAGGTCCACTGGATTCCATGCGAATATACAAGCTATATGTGTGTTTAGAAGTGTAATTTTTTATTTTCAGCTTATGTTATAGCCCACAATGTTTTCTTCATAGAACTTTGATAGTCCTGTGAGAACAGTTCATATGGACATACCAATTGAAGGAGAGGAAGCCCCTGCGTATATTCCACCAGAACCCAAACCAGCCCCTGTGAGGCAGCATCATCGACAAGTCAAAGAGAAAGTGCCACCTCCAGTTGCTAAGAAACCAGCAAGAACCAAGCCGAAAACCCCAAGCACAGAAAGGATTCATAGGTCAAGGTCACCACCTGCGACAACCAGAAAGGTGGGTTGAGTTGTTTTGAAGGTCAAGTCAGAGGGCATAAGACAGAGTGCATAAGTCGGAGAGTATAAAGCAGAGGTCAATTATTGCAACGTTATCAATGTTGACACCAATATGGTTGTTTTCAACTTCTATGTTAGATGGTGTTTTGTAAAAGGTCAGAGATCTGCAGTCAGGTGACAGGGGTCACTTGGTGCCAAATCATCTCTGTCTGTATTTCTATTTAATGTGCTGTTTCTCATGACTTAACCACTAGTGACATTTCTTTTCAGCCTGACAGACGAGAAGCTCCAATGCGAGCACGACACAGAAGGTCAAGATCGTCAGACTGCATTCTGGTCCATAAGCCAACAGATACCCTTGAAACAGGTTTGTGACATAACAATTTCAGAATCCTTGTACTGTCAAGTCTCCTCATTGGCTCAGTGAAATCGAGCAACTTCCTAGGTGGCATCATTTGCCATGGGCACTTGAATAGAAGGGGTTTCCGTCTCGCTATAAGCACTAGGAATCGCTAGAATTCTGTGCATAAATTTTTAATATGGTTATATATGATGGCTGCGTACAACTTCCTAGGTGGCATCATTTGCCATGGTATGTTATTTGTTATGATTTTTCTCTGTTTATTTTTCCAGATACAATAATGCAGCCGATGATCAGAAACAAGAAGACCGTGGCTATTCCAAAAATCAGTGACCTCAAGGTGCAAATTTTACTTTTTAATTGTTTATTGTTCCTCTTAGTACTATAACCTTTGACCCTCTGGCACTTTCATCCCTCATTACTCTGCGATCTGATTCTTTCACTTTTCTTATAGTACATTCACGTTTCATAGCCATATCTTCTGCACCACGACCTTTTGCAATTTCACTATGGCTTTCTTATCTTTCTCTTCCCTTGCCCTTTGTCCTGTAACCTTTTGACCTTTTGATACTTTTTTTCATTTTTCATGTCACCATCCTTCTTCATTTTTATCGCTATCTGTTTTAGAACGAGCTTCATTACTTGCTTGAACACCAAGAAGAAGACTCAGCGGGTGAAATTGAAACAAAGCTGTTCAAGGTAATGCGCCAGGAAAATTATTTTTGATAAATGAGTTTCTACAACTCGATAGAGAATATTATTTTAGTCATAAAAGGTCTGCCTTGGCTACGGCCTGAAGTTAAATTTGATAATGTTGTTATATATATCTTCTTTTCATAACAGATTTATTGTTATTTATATTTTAAAGATTCCACTTGCACTGTGAAACCTGCAGCCCATTTGCTATCGTTTTCAAAGAGTTGCTATTTTGATTTGTTTTCATAATTATATTTTTAGTAATTAGCCCGTGCAGCTAGATAAGTCTGTCCTGTTTTATGTATAATGAAGTATTTATGTTTTATTCCCTGAAGTCTATGACCTTTGACATAGCATGACCTTTGACATAGAATGACCTTTAACATAGCATGACCTTTGACATAACATGACCTTTGACATAGAATGACCTTTGACATAACATGACCTTTGACATAGAATGACCTTTGACATAACATGAACTTTTGCATCCTTGTTTTTCTTGGGTTGCATCATATCTTTCAAACCTAAATTATTCGTGTTTTCACACCCTTCCTCTAGCAAGCATGGAATAACATGGAATAAATGCGTTTTTTTAAAAGTTTTGTCCACTTTCTCTTCAATGTTTTTTTCGAATCATCAGATGATCACTAAGTCTGTTTCCTTTCGTTTGAAGGGTGCCGTCATGAAAACCCGTACAGGGGGGCACAGTGTGCAATTTACGGACATTGAGAGTTTGAAGCATCGATCTGAAGGGGGAGTGACTACAACTGCTCCGTCTGGCAATGACACTGATGGATCTCCACACAGACGGGGGTAAGTTTTAAAAACAAGTTTCTATGCGGCTATTTAGCAATTCAATGTTGCTCATTACAACATGGAATCATCTCGATGTTAAATGTATCTACCTTTTGTTTGTGACTAATTTGCCTTTCATAACCCCACCAATTGGGAGTTGGTGTGCGTATCTTAGTGCCAGAGACCTGGAGGGGGGCAAAGCCTTGAGTAACCCCTCACTCCCAAGCTCAATTTTTTGCTGTGTTTGGAAACAGAGGGAGTTTACCAACCCCGGTTAGCTTCACCCCTGCTTAATTTTCTTTATTACCATAACATTTTTATTTAATCTATTTGTGGATCTGATAGAAGCCATTTTATGTTTTTGCAGGAAAAAGAGGCCATCGTCTGCTTCCGAGGCTGTGTCAGACGACAGTCTCACAAGCATTGAAGGAAGGGTAAGTGTTATGAATCCACCCCACTTTTCATCTTTATTATTCATAAATTTTCTCATGCTCAATTCTCAAAGCATTCGTAATTTCCGGTTTGCGTTGATACCTACCAAGCCAGATTTCTGTCTTTGTTTTCTCAACTTCCCGTATCGTTTCATCTGTTCCTACATATGTGAAGATTCCCCTCCAATTGTCTGTGAAGATTCCCCTCCAATTGTCAAAGTGAATGAACACTCTTATTGTCAAAGTCTTCATTTCATTTTATGAAAAGAGTACATTTTAACTTGCAGAAATCTTAAACAGTTCTACAGTCGAGGATTATATTCAGTTTCTGTAGTCTTATTCCATGATTTTTTAAGCCCCTACTCCTTTACTTTTAAGCGCCACCCCTTATTTTTTTCTAGCGCTACCCTCTGGTTTTTTTCTATAGTCACCCCCTGACTTTTCTGTAGCTCCACCTCGTGATTTTTCTCTATCGCTGCCCCCTGATTTTTCTCTAGCTCCACCTCCAGATTTTTTTTCTAGCGCCATCCCCAGATTTTTTCTAGCGCTGCCCCCTGGTTTTCTTTACACGATCAAATATCCAATGAAATTTTTTGTTTCCAGTGTGCTGTTGGAATTGGTGGCGGGCCCTACGGAGAACCAGCCCAAGAATCAAAGTAAGTCTTTATTCACACCAATCTTTGTATTCGGCAATTGTAATCACATGTAATCCAGTTAACTCGAACATCCAGGGGGGAGCAATTAAGATATAAGTGGAGGCTCAAGGGGGTGCAAAATCAGTTCAGGTTTGTACGGGGTTCAAGTTATTAGGGGTTCGAGCTATCAGTTCACTTTATCAGGGGGTTCGAGTTATCGTGAGTCATCAAGGGGAATGAAAAATTAGTTAGGGTTAAAGACAGACGAGAGATGTTAAAGTTTATTTTTCCAGGGGTCTAAAAATAGACAACCAATGAGCAACCGTTGTGACATTTTGCACGTGACTGCTTTTTCATCTGTGTTTAGTTCTTTATGTCAAACGATGGTGAAACTTTGTGGTAAATATTGGATGAAGATTTTGGCTGGCTGATAAACCCCTGTTCAAATGAAGGATGAAAATAAAAAATAACGAATCGTTTTAGTGTTGCTCTTGCCACTAGTAATGCCATGTGGGTAATTTTCCCAAAACATTTTGAGCTACTTCTAAGCAACTTGGCTTTGTATCCGTCATATGTCTCTACTGAAAGCGAAAGTTTCAAGGGGAGTGGGCTAGATTTCGCAGTATTATACTTTTTATGATCATATCATTTAATTATTTACCAATTAAGGGTTTTTTTTATATTTCTCAATAGGCGAAAGAAGCATTAAAAGAAACAGCATGGTTAAAGACAACCTCCAAACCACGCCGAGACTGATGCAATATTGTGGTTTTCTCGATAAGAAAATGAACTGCGTCTGTCTTCTGCGTTATTTGTGAATTTATTTATATTCGATTTGTAAAAGAGTTGTTGCAGTTTGTGGTAGAGGGGAGAGGCTAAAAAGCCAAATTATCTTACGTCCCGTTTAGTAGATCAGGTGAAATTTCTTAACACGAAATTTAGAATTATTCGCTGCATATAATTCATAGCCGAATCCACACTGACTTAAATATTCACTTAAGTTGCCTTTAAAAACTGCAACAATTGAAGTCCAACTGTGTTTTGTTCTTTTCATAAAAGACTTTCTACTTGTATTCAAGTCTCAAGACTTAGGGGAAAGAAAATTGATTTGCTCGATATATTTACAATACAGTAAAACACAAATGCAGTTATTTATTTAGGCCGAACTCACAAACAATCCATCATTATGAAATTAAAGCTGTTATAAATTATTTGCAGCACAAATTAATACATTTTGACATTTTTAATCATGGAAATGCGAAAGACTTTATTTACTTGCTATATTTTGTAAATAACTATTATCCTTTGTTAATTTTTCAGAAACTTTGATTTTTATTTCAACTTGTAAGAGTTTGATGTAGTTTATTTGATTATAAAATATTGATACTTAAATTGTTGTTTGGTTTTTTCCTTTTGTGTCCAACTACCCTTCGCATCGCAAATTCTTATCCAATCTTAGGCCAATTCTTCAGCTTATCGGTCAATTAGAAGCTCCTGAAAGGGTTTTGATAAACACCTTATTCGTTGATCGAGGCTACTTTTGACTATTAAGAATTTGTTTTGCCAGAACTGTCTAGGAAAAATCAAGGTCTTGAGATTATTGACAATCTCTTAATTGGGTCACTCTAACATTGGAAAAAATATTGCCCGTATGTTTTTAACACCGTATTGTAACTCTGATCAAATAAATTAAAATGAAAAACTTCTAGACTATTTTTGTTCAAAATAATGTTGTTGTGAGGGGTTTGAAGCAAGGAGTTTAGTTCCATTGTCACTGCTGAAAATTGGCCCTTGTACATTTTTTGCTTCTACATTTTCGATAACTTTGTAGGTAGGCCCCTTGTCCTTCTCCTAAAGCAGTACTGTTCTTTTCATAATCTTATTCTAATTTCATTCATTCATTCATTCATATTTAATCCTTCTGTGCAAGCATTTTAAAAGTTGTTTTAGCTTTTTATCTGACACTCTTAGTATAAAATGTCAGAATAATTATCGAAAATTTCAAGAAGTAAACCATCGAAGAGTTTCATTCCTTAAAGATGATTTTATGCTAGGAAACTGCCCATCATAGAGCTGAGGGGATCGGAAGTGGGTGAGACTTAATCCAGGTTCTTAAAAGACTCTGACAATGCTAACAAATGAGCCTTTGCGAGGGTGGCAAATTATCCAGGCGACAATCCAAACAATGGCGGCAAACTTCTACGGATTAAGCATAATTGATTTCAGACTGTCTGAAAATGCATTATGGGATGCTTGCGTAGCGCAATGGCTCATTGTTAGCAATAAGTCTTTAACCAAAATCCCATTCCACCACATCAATATAATCGATCAACATCATCTATGAATATCGTTTATTAATATCAGCTATCAACATTATCTATCAATTTCATCAAGGAGGAATGAAATCCTGAAATCTCTCTGAATTATTATAAAATGGGCTGAGCCCCCTGGCACCCCTAAAATAAGCCACAGAATACTTGTAAAAACTTGCCAAATTTATCAACAAATTCTTCTGCATTTTCTGCATCTCGTTCAAAAGAATTACCTTGAAACTCTCTTTTTGGAGAAATTGGCTTACCATATCCCCTGGGATCAAAGGATACAAAAGTGAAGTCCTGGGGGAAAGACTTCTTAGCTGGGGGGCCATAGTTTCACTGGGTCGTTCCCAGAACCCCTGATATGCATAACCACACTGTGGCTTATGAAAGTAAGATCAATTCTTTTTTCACAACGGATGGGGAGTAATTTGCATGCATCAACGGGGGCTATGTCCCAACTAGCCCCCCTCAAGCACAACCCTCCTGAGAAACTGGCTAGAGTAAAAGAAGCGAGAATTGAGAACAAAAGATCGTCTAGACAAAGCATTTTAAATAAAATACAGTTTTAACTGCATTGGTGTGTCAATGTAAATTATTTATTAAACACTAGTTGATAAAAACTTGGTAACAAGTTCATTAAACTCCTCATGGAATCTTAAATGAAGATTGTGTTTGCCTTCTGGGAAATAATGGATTTGCGAATTCTTGATTCTTTCGTGAATATAAACAGGATGAAAATCTGGAACAATGGGGTCTTTGGATCCATGTACAATCAGAGTTGGACATTTGATATTCTGCAACGAGTTTTTACAAATTCCGTTCTCATTTTCTTTAAAACTGAAGAAAGCAGCCATCCAGGAAGACCAGAGATCTTGAAGCTTATCCGTTCCGTACAAAGCTAAAAAAGAGCAAAAAATATAATCACACAAATCTCAAAGTTGGCTTGGAGAAAAGACAAGACTCGCAGGGCTTTATTTTAGCAGGTCCACAAGCTACAGGTCCACATGTCAAGCCAATGATTTGCAGATCAAGCCCAAGAATGAATTAATTGATTAATAAAATAAATTTAATAATTAATGAAATATGAATTAATTAATTTAATAATGAGTTAATAAAATAATACAACAAAAAACATCATCATGGAGCATGAAGGACATGGAACAACTTCAATTTTCAAGACCAAAAACTGAAATAGGAAGAGCTAATGTTTGTTTTTCTCTAATTTCTTTCCTTCTTAAAGCCATTTGATACAACAATTTGATTTTTCCTTGCTCCAGTCACAAAAGAACTGACAATCTACCATCAGCAAAATTTCTAAATACATAAAGATCTGTCTTCTATAGTTGAATTGAATAAAACCTGTAGTTCAATTTACCTTCAAGAGGTTCCCTCATTTTGGCACTCCACTTTGATAAATCCTTGACCTTGCTAAGCACAGCAAAGTCTTTTTCTGAGACGTAAGAATTTGAGCCCCATACTACCAATTTGTTGATCAGTTCTGGCCTTGCACCTGCTAAAATCATACCAACAATTCCACCATCACTCCAACCAAGAATGGAGAACTTTTTGAAACCTAAAATGATTTTAAAGTTATTAGTGATGCAATTTTTCAGGAAAAATTAAATTAAAGATATATCTTTCCAAGAAACCTATGGAATCAAAAAACAGGTGGCGGACTAGACTCTATGCATTGTACCTTAAAACCTTCTCCTTGGTTTTTTTACTTCCATGTCTATGTTAGCATTTCGTGCATGCTACAGGTCATGGCATAATTTTAGCAGCTCGTGCATTGTGGCTTTATAAACATTTGAGTTTCTTTCAGGGGTGAAACGGCTTGGAGCAGTAAATGAAAGGAGGCAAAAAGTAAGAAAATTCAAAATGAAAAACTCTTACTGAGTGCAGAGGTTAATAATTGTGAATGTGAAAACAAATTGTCTAATTTTATTACTTTCTTACTCATAGTATTTTTAGAAAGGGGTCAAGCAACTGCCTATAATTATGTTCATGATACTTCCAACCTGCTCGGATTCACTTGCATTGAACAATCTTTTGGAACTCATCATACGTATTTAACTGCCAACGCTGAACACGTACAGTACTTTCAGTATTATGCAACAAACATACCAATTTTATGCATCAGTTCTGCAGCATCATCCGCATCTCTCTCAAAAAAGGTACTTGGAAAATCTCTCCAAGGAGGAATTGACTTTCCATACCCCCTGGGGTCAAAAGCTACCACTGTGAAATTCTTGGAAAGATCTCTTAGCTGGGGGGCAAAGTCTGATTGGGTTGAACCAAGGGCACCTGGAATGCATAGTAACACATCTGGGGAGTTGCCTGCAATCTGAAAGAGATTTAAGAGGCACAAATTATTACTGGGGAGTATGGCAGTTATCAAAGATACTTTGGGCGTGAACCAACGTTCCAGACAGGTCTTTTGGATGGAACCCTCTTTTACCAATTATATGGTATGATAACAGAATTTTGTTGTGCAGCCTCAACCCTAGCCTGCGTCAAGGGATAGGTCCACCCCCCAAGGGATATCGGTCAACCCATGTGCATTGTTAGCTTAGACCCAGCCTCTACCTAGTTGCAAGAGTTTCAAATTCTGAAGGATTCATCAAAGACTTTTCTTCAAATCTTCATGTTTAAATGGAACCTAGCAATGTATTTCTGCTGCCCTCTTGATTTTTACTTTACCGCCTAAACTTCGTCCTAAACTTCAAATAACGATAAAAACACAAAACCTCATAATGAAAATTCACGCCATTGGCTTCGACTTTCCGCGAAATTATGGAGCTTGATGCACAAAATGATCTGCATGATACTGGACTTTTCCCTTTAACGCCCAAATCAAAAGCAAAACTTCGCAGTCTTGAGAAAAGTAACTTTGTTGCCATGCTTTTAGAAGGAACTCCCCTTTCTTTCTGTTTTTGTTTAATGCGAGGTTTCATAAGCAAAACGAGGCGCTCCCAGGTGCACACTGTTTTCAAAATGGCGCTTGAAATCGAATCGGCTGAGTAAGTTTTGTTTACAGTATTTTAGCTTGATTATGTTTTTAATTGGATCTACGTTTATAAATTCATCAGATTCCCTTAACTGTCTTTAGTCTGATGTTTTCGGCTTGCAAATATATGATAGTAAAAATGATGCATTCAAGAATCAGTTGTAGATGAGATATGAAATAAAATAGGCTAGGTTGCTATTGACTCACATTGGCCTAACAATTCTGACGATTTGCTTGACAGAATAAATTTTCACTCTTTGGGGCTGCTCTGCTCCTTGTCTATTTAATAAAGATTGTTTGGTCAGTTGATGAAATTAGGTGGAAAGCATAACAGAAATAAACATTTGTTTTTCTTATTAAGAACCTTACCTGCAATTTAATTCCAAACAGTTTTTCAGCATGCCATTATTAAGGACAGCAGGAAGAACTTTTGCCTGCTACTGAATTTGATAACATATTGCAAAAAGGAAGAATTATGACCGAATACATCATATACTTGTGGCTTTCTGTTAAAATTCCTGAATAAAAGGTTCTTTATAGAATCTGTAACCTGAAAGAAAATGAAAATGATACAGCCATATTCACAATTTTTTGATTTGATGATTTTTTTGTTTTAGTGTTGTGAGACTTATCCAACAATATTTGAAGGAAAGTAATCTTCATCGGACCTTAACAACGTTGCAGGTTGGTCTCATTTGTCACAAATTCCGGGATTTCTGCATTAGTAGAACTGGCACTAAATTTTCAAACTTAGGGAGCCAAAATATGTTCGAAGATGAATACAAAAACCTTGTTTTGTCAAATTGCCTTTGACAATTTGTCTCTTACATGTTGAATTTGTCTATTGCTCAGATAATTTATTAGAAATTTTGACTACTTTGATACCATTTGCACTCCATAGTATCAATTATTAAATTTGGCTTCAAGGAAGAGATCACTGCATTAGTTAATCGGCATTAAATTTCAAATATAGAGCGCTAGAATACATTTGATGTTGAATACACAAAATGTTTCTAATGGTCAAGGGACTATATATATATATCTAAAATTATATCCATAAACATCTACGACAATCCACATTGCAGGTTGGTCTCATTTGTCACAAATTTGGGGATTACTGCATTAGTAAATTGGCACTAAAATTCGAATATAGAGAGCTAAATTATGTTTTTTCTTAAATACACAAAGCGATTTATCAAATTGTCAAGGGAATATAATATATCAACATGTATGCATAAACATCTTGACAATTTGTCTGGTACATAATAACTTTTTTATTATAATTTATTAGAGATGAAGTTCCCCCTATTTTCACCTTTTTGGACCATTTGCCTTGGTGTGACTTTAAACACAGTAGACAGAGTAGAGAGTTTCGTGTCAGATATCGTCTATCAATATCAGCTATCAATATCAAGGCTTCGTGTCAGATACCGTCTTTCAATAACAGCCTTTAAATAACGTTGTTTTAATAAATGCATTTGGTTTGTAGGAAGAAACTGGTGTGACTTTAAACACAGTAGACAGCGTAGAGAGTTTCGTGTCAGATATCAGCAATGGACACTGGGATATTGTTTTACAAGCAATTCAGTCTCTTAAATTGCCAGACAAAACACTCATAGATCTCTACGAACAAGTAAGATATGTAGTTTAAATTATGATGCATAAATTTATGATGAATAAATTTATGATGCATAAATTTTTGATGCATGAATTTATGATGCATAAATTTATGATGCATAAATGTATGATCTTAAGATGCTTTGATGAGGTACTCTGATATATGATTTATTGATTTTCTCATCATTGGTTTTTAAGCTGATGCTTAATTATTTTTGATAATGTTTAATTATGTTTTATAATTTATGACAGTTTCAAGTTGATTATCGTAAACTACCAAGTTAACTGTTTATGATTCGGCTTGATGATAGACTATAATTTATGATAATTTTGTTATGGATATGCTAGATTTTGAGCTGATGGATTATCATTTGTTATGCAACATCCACGAATAGATACCTCTGTACAAGCAACACCTCTCAATAACCAACAGGCTATTTTGTCCCAAAATACCATATCACTCTTGAAGGAATTTTTATAAAACATACAATAACATTGTCTCAAATGGTGTCCATTATATGGAGCCTCCACTGTGGGTCCATATGGAGCATACAAAAATGAATGATGTTTTGATTGGTTATAATTTATGAGCAGCACATCATAATAATGTATGATGATTTATGATAATTTTATGCTGATTTTTGCAGATTGTTGTGGAGTTGATTGAACTGAGAGAACTTGGTGCTGCACGATCATTACTTCGCCAGACAGACCCGATGCTGATGCTTAAACAACATCAACCAGATAGATATCTTAGACTAGAAAACCTTTTAGCAAGATCTTACTTTGACCCACGTGAGGTATCATGTCTTTAATTGTAACTCTATTTGTTCTGCTCTATAATCTTTACAGTAAAGATAAGGGCTAATAATTTTATAACCTCCTCTTGCCGTGTAGAGTGATTTTTGTTTATGATACTTCATATAAGATCCACAGAGCAGAAATGAAATGATTTAAAATCACAGGAAATGCTTTTCTCAACATAACTATGACATCTTTTTAGTCTGTGCAATGACCTTTATGTTAGTTGGCACTAAATTTCAAATATTGAGTGCTAGACGTCTGACTATGACGTCTTTTAAGACTTTCATGAAAACTGCAAGCATCTTATGAATAAAGCAAAATTGTATCAACTCTGTCTAAAAAACTGACTCGATAATGTTTGAATAAATCTTTTAACCCAGCAAAGCTCCGGTACTATAGATTAACAGGCTCTGCCCTAAATCAGCTGGAGGGACATGGGCCAATAGTATGACTTATTCACTTACAGCTTTTTTATTATCTGACCCATCCCAACTCATTTTTCCCCATTTTCTAGGCCTATCCTGATGGTAGCAGTAAAGAAAAACGTAGACATGCTATCGCCCAAGGTGAACCATTTACTGTCTCGTAGATATGTTTTAATTGCACATAAAGCTTTTTTGTATTTGACTTGTTCTAAGAAAATGTAAATTCGTTCTTGAAATCACAATTAGCAGAGTTTCAACAGAATTTGATAACGGATTGGCTGCTGTATGTAACAGCAAACCACGCCCACAACCATGCCCCACACTTTAACCGCACTTTCACTTTGGAGAAAACAAAGCTGTTTCCACCTCACTCATCCAAGGAAAAACTAGAGGTAATAAGGTGGTGGATTCACATATAAGCTTTATAACCAAGGATTCTTATGCTCGTTTGATACAGACAGAGCCTTCTCTGCAATCTTTTCTTAGCAGATTTGGCTGAGCCTTCTCGGGCCCACATACCTCTCTGCATTGGAGAAATTTTCCATGATTCTTAAAAGTTTGGCGACGAGCATTTTGTCTTCTTTCTTTCATCCCGGACAACACCCTTCCAAAGCAACACTCCACAGCACGCCTTGTTCCAGATTAACTTTGAAACTCTCAACCTTAATTGTAAATTTGAGAGATTTAATCTTTGTTCATTGTTTAGTTTATGGATTTTGTGCCACCTGCACTGAATTAGGCCATTTGAAAAAGTATTGACCCATCTTTCAGCTGAATTTTGTTTGTTTGTACCTATAGCTCTGTCTGGAGAAGTGAGTGTTGTACCCCCGTCTCGACTTATGGCTTTACTTGGCCAGGCGTTGAAGTGGCAACAATACCAGGGGCTCTTACCTCCAGGAATGGCAATCGATCTCTTCAGAGGAAAAGCAGCTGTGAAGGAGCAGGAGGAAGAGAAGTACCCAACGCAAATTAGCAAAGTTATTAAGGTGGAAGCATTTAATTTTGAATTCGTGATCTTAAATTCCTTAATCATGTGAAAAACATGTGATATGTTTGAAATCAGAAAAGATCGCTGTGATGCTCGACCTGCCTATTGATCTTTTGATTTGATTGCAAAATAATTAAGGTTAGATGGGATGTTCCCTTGAGTCTCGGGCTCTTTGTGTGTTGATCTCACTGGGGTTTTTGCTTAGGGACGTTTTTTACGCCATGTTTTTGGACTGATCACGCCCAGCAATAAAAGTTACTCTTTGTAAATACTTTCTACAAATTAAGGGGACTCTGTATTTTGTATGAAACTTTAACTTACAAAAAACGGTGAAATGAATCTAGCTTAATCAATTTTGCCTCATGTAGAAAAAACAATGTCATTTGTTCTCACGATCTTCTGTCTCATCTTAAATTACTTGTTTCTTACAGTTTGGAACGAAAGCTCATCCCGAGTGCGCCGCATTCTCACCCGATGGCCAGTATCTTGTAACCGGGAGTGCGGACGGATTCATAGAAGTCTGGAATTATCAAACCGGAAAGATCAGGAAAGATCTGAAATACCAGTCCGAGGTTTGTCGACATCTAGTCGATTCTTGCTCTCTAACTATTACAACCAACTGCCCTCCATACATTCTAATTCCAGCTCTTATTTTACCTTACCGGGATATTTGATTTTAAATTCGTTGTGTTAATAATGTCTAAAATTTGCCCTGATCCGGTTTCTGAAAGTTCCCTGATCCTGATCAGAGAACTGGATCCGGTTCGTTTCATAACATACCAGAAAGTTTGCTGTTGTGTCTTATTGTATCTAATTTTGAATGACCGCTGGTTCAACATCCTCTTGCCTTTCTCTTGTCACCAGGACAATTTCATGTTAATGGAAGATGCTGTTTTGTGTATGGCCTTCAGCCGGGACAGCGAGATGTTGGCAACTGGGAGCCAGGACGGTAAAGTCAAGGTAGGGGCGTAATTTTAACGTCACAATGACCCCCTCACCCTCTACTAAGTACTTTTAAAGACTTCCCATTCTCAAGAACTTTTATAAGCCCAAAATAGTAAGTCTGCCACCTTACTATATCTAAGAATTATCATCATTATGACGTCATCAGTCTGTCATCTTGACATCCTCTCCGGCAAGTGACTTCCTTTTCCTGACGGCCTTTGCCCTTCCTAGGTTTGGAAGATTCAATCCGGCCAGTGCTTACGACGATTCGAAAATGCCCATTCCAAGGGCGTCACGTGTGTTCATTTCTCAAAGGATTCTGGGCAGCTTCTTACGTCATCATATGATACCAAAATCAAGTAAGATTCACGAAAATTATCCCCAAGATCTCATTATTTATCTTCGATTTATAAAAGATTTGACTCCAGGAAGGCTTCATCCTCTTTGCTTCAATCAACTGAATTTTCTCATTATCTGGTTTAACATTATTGAGATTTATTTGTTCCGTTTTTTACCTTTTCAGTGAAATTATTGTGTAAAGACTTATCTCATCACTTTTTGAAAGGGCTTGTGCATTGTAGTAAAGGTTTCTTGTCAGTGTAAGGGCTTCATAAATTGCATTGTAGGGATTTCTCTGACTACAATGCATTGGTGTCTCTCGTTGCAGTGTAATGGTTTCTCCCAATACATTGTAATGGTATCTAACACTGCAGAGCAATGGTTTCTTCCACTGCAATTCAATGGCTTTAAATTTCTCATTGTAATGTAAAAGCTTTGCTCACTTGGTAATCTTTATTAAGCCACTGTTTCCGGCACTGTTTATATGTGACATCAGTATAATCTTGTCTTTAGAATTCATGGCTTAAAGTCTGGAAGAACGCTGAAGGAATTCCGGGGACACACTTCTTTTGTGAATAATGTAATCTATACTCAGGATGGACATCAAATCATTAGCGCAAGTAGCGATGGAACAGTAAAGGTTTGTACTATTTGACCCCCGTGTTGAAAATGTATGAATGGCCTGAATGGATAAATGAAAGAATGAATGTATGGCTGAATAGCTGAATGAATGAATGAATGAATGAATGAATGAATGAATGAATGAATGAATGAATGAATGAATAGATGAATAAATGAATGAATGATTAGATGAATGAATAACTGAATGCATGAATGAATGAATAACCGAATGAATGAATGAATAAATGAATGAATAAATGAATGAATCAATGAATTAAAAATTCGTAAAGCTCTTAATGTTGCCAGGTTATAATTGCACAATCTAAATTTGTCTTTTAGTTGTTGACCGTAAAACGACAGGAGACTGCTGGAAAATCATAGGTTGGCAAAGATAATAGATATTGTACTCTCTTGTAGATATGGAATTTGAAAACAACAGAATGTGTGCACACATTCCAAGGAGGTATTGGCTCTAATGCTCGTGACGTAACAGTCAATTCTGTCCATTTGCTGCCAAGGAATGTTGATCATTTTGTTCTATGCAGTAAATCTAGCACGATTTTCATCATGACCATGCAAGGACAGGTGAGAGCGTTGTTTTCTAACGGGTTTCTCTCGTAGTGCAAGGGTTTTTCCGCACTGCAAGGGTTTACTCCACAGTGCAAAGGTTTCTTTTGTAGTACAAGGGTTTCTTTTGCAGTGTAAAGGTTTCTCTCATAGTACAAGGGTTTCTTCTGCAGTGCAAAGGTTTCTCTCGTAGTTAAGGGTTTTTTACACTGCAAGGGTTTCTTCCGCAGTGCAAAAGTTTCTTTATAGTACAAGGGTTTCTTCTGCAGTGCAAAAGTTTCTTTTGTAGTACAAGGGTTTCTTCCGCAGTGCAAAAGTTTCTTTTGTAGTACAAGGGTTTCTTCCGCAGTGCAAAAGTTTCTTTTGTAGTACAAGGGTTTCTTCTGCAGTGCAAAGGATTCTTTCGTAGTGCAAGGGTTTCTTTCGCAGTGCAAAGGCTTCTTTATAGTGCAAGGGTTTCTTCTGCAGTGCAAAGTTCTCTTTAGCAGGGAAGCGAGATCTGTCCTTGCTGTCGGATTGAAGAGCAAAACTAGCCCCACACTCCATCAGTTGTTCCTGTTTAACTTGTTATCCTTCTTTTTCCATACTTATATTTGTTTGATATATTTATATTTATATTTGTATATCTATTTATATACTTATCTTTCTAGATTGTTCGCAGTTTGACCTCCGGTAAGCGAGAGGGTGGCGATTTCTATTGCTGCAATGTTTCACCGCGAGGAGAATGGATCTACTGCGTAGGAGAGGATCACGTGCTGTATTGTTTTAGCACAACCACAGGAAAATTAGAGAGAACATTAAATGTAAGAAACTCGAGTTTGTTATACCTTTTGAGCCTTGACTGTGCATTTAAAAAAAGGGGGGTTTGTCATTCCCCCCCCCCCCACCCCCCAAAAAAAATTTAGTTCCTATCCAATGAATCTAAAAACACGAATATATAATTCTATTTAATTCACGAGCTAAAAAGTCACAAATTGGTAATTCTATGATTTGGTAATACTGTTTGGCTTGACTTTTCATTCATGTTACATCATAAGGTTTTTCCGTTCCCTGGAGTCTGGGGCAATGTTACGTCATTAGGTTTTTCCGTTCCCTGGAGTCTGGGGCAATGTTACGTCATATTTTATTCCCATGGAGATAAAAAGAGCTTTCATTGATTTGAATTTATTCGTTTTTCAGGTCCATGAAAAAGATGTCCTGGGCATTCAGCATCATCCGCATCAGAACTTGGTTGCAACATACAGCGAAGACGGAACACTCAAACTTTTGAAACCCTAGTTGTGCCGTCGCTTCTTGAAACCCGAACATCGCTTACTGAAGTCAACGAGACTTTATAGAAAAACATTGTACCATGTAAATTGGAGTAATGTCGTCGCTAGGAAGACCTCATGCTCTCTTAAAGGGTAGGAGACTCATACGGGGGGCTCCTTATTCCCTTTTTCAATCATATTCTTGCGGGTAAACTTTCTTGTAGATATATTTCGTTGTTAAATTCATCTTTGCGAGAGGAATAAATTTCTAGTGTATATTTCTACTGTTGATTTCAAACCACCAGAAAACCTAGTGTAGCATGAAAGTTGCCGGAGCTGCATGCGTCTGGTGCCAGTGAATCACCATTTGTGGTCCACACTATTCGGAGTACAAAAATCGACGATTGCCAATGACGATACCTTGGGTATTAGCCTCTCCTTTACTTTTTCCTTTCTGAAGCTTTGGCACCAGAATACAAGATGGTGCACAGATGCCAACCATTTTTTCTCCTCAGCGCAAGCAATGATAAGTAGAAATGGCCTATGGAAGCACAAAAGTCAAGCATGATATACGTGGATTCCTATCTGTTCTATCGACGCCTTTTTCACCACACAACCTTAGACTTTCTCTTTCAAAAATGTGCTCGCGTTTCTCATTGGCCTATTTCGGTCCACAACTGGGTATATACATTTCCTATCGTGGTGTTTTGATCTATATTCGAACTCTGAAGAGTGTCAAACCGAAAGCTTTAGTATGACTAAAAATGATTGCTTTTTCAAAGCCATTTCTGGGATACTTCGGTACCACAGTGACAACGGTCAAGTTGCCCTGTGAAATAGAAAATCAGAAAAGTTGGGTAGAAAATCAACAAAATTTGGCGGAAGATAAATAAAATCAAGTAGAAAATCAATTAAGTCGGGTAGAAAGTAGATAAAGTCGAGAAGAAAGCACAAGCCTATGACAACAATACAGTCAGGCAGAAAATTAATATGGTGTATACAAAAATCGGATAGCAAATAAGTAAAGTTGGGTAGAATAACGTTAAGTCAGGTAGAAAACATCGAAATAAAGTCGGGTAGAAGTAAATAAAGTCAGTAAGAAAGCATTAAGATTGGCTATGATATTTATTAAATCAGGTATAAAATCAGTACCGTAAATCCTCGAATTAGCCCCCTGGGGCTTATTTGCTTTAAATATTTTTGGATGGAGTCTTATTCGAGGGGGGGGGGGGCTTATAAAATTATATTAGACATTATTGAAAGACATCACAATAAAATTTCTTTATTAACATTCAATTGATTATCACCAAAAGTATGAATTTGTTGTGGTAATCCAATAAAACGCCAAAGGCAACCTCAGATGGCAAAAATCATCAAATTGAGAAGTCCAATTCGAGAATATACGGTAGCAATGAGGGCTTATTCGAGAAAGGGGGGCTTATTGGCAGTTTGTAGTTCTAGGGTGGGGGCTTTTTCAAAGGGGGGGGGGGCTTTTCCAAGGAAGGAGCAATTCAAGGATTTACGGTCGGGCAGAAAATCAAATAGTGTGTACAAAAGTCGATAATGTCAGATAGAAATTAAGTAGAGTCGGTTAGAAAATAAGTAAAGTTGCGTAGAAATTAAGAAAAGTTTGGTAAAAAATTAATTATATCCCATATAAAATCGATAGAGTCGGGCAGAAAATCAATATGGTTTGCGCACAAAAATTGAGTAAGACGGGTAAAAATTTACTAAAATCAGAAAAAAAATCAATTACACTCTTTTTTTTATAAGAACAATTTTATAAGAACTCGAGCCTCAAAACTGGTCAAAAGTTAAGAACAAATTAAGAGCAAGCTGAGGCTGAGCTTCTGCAAAATGCAATTTTGAACAACGTTTTTCTCAAAATCGAGGATTTTGAGCGATGTGTGGGTGCTTTTTCGATGAATATTCAAATTTGTCAGCAACTTAAGGGGCTGTCTCACTCACTCTCTTGGCAAATGAGGCCTGAACACCCCCATTAGAGCGAAAAACCTAGCAATAGCACTGCTTACACCCTCTTAATTTAAGAACAAATTAAGGACAATCCAGCCTCAGATTTTCGAAAAAATTAAGAACAGTCAGCCTGAACTCAAATTTACTGGTTTTTATAAAAGAAAGAGTGTAAATCGTTTTGAAGATAAATTTTTTTTGGCATTTGATAAATTTCTGTGATTGGCGTTTGTCATGACTTATGAATTTATTATGATTATTATTATGACCTAATCATCAACACAATTGTATTCAAATACCAATTGGAACAAAATGAGCCAATCCGCGTACTCCTAAGCTACTCTAAGCCTGTCCTTAAGACCGTAAGTCGCTGCCATATCAGGAAGTCATGGAATGTTCCGAATTTGTTTCCTGTGATTGAAATCAACCGGATGTGCAGCCTGTTTCCTCCCAAATAAATTGCTGAAATTTAACTTTGGGAGAGATCGCAATTTCCCCAGAGGTAAGTGCATTAATCTTGTTTTGCCACGTGCACTAAGGATGCCCTTATACCATTTCCAAGGCTTTAAACCTGCGTCTGTGGACTACGTGAGCTGAACCGAAGTCGCCATGAACAATTTGCGGTTTGTCCGTGGCTAGGCCGACAATTTTGCTGAAACAACACGCATTCTGTATAGTTCACAAGCACGAAGTCTGCAAGAGAGAGAAGGCCTCTCCACTGTTTCAAAACACTGTTTACACTATCTGTTTATTCTCCTATTCCGATCATACATTTGGCTGCAAAACTGGCCTTTTTGTCACGCTCTCGCATTTCCTCTGTTTACTTCTCATGACCGTTTCCGCGCATCTCCAACGTAGGAAGTTCTTCAAATTAATTCATTTTGGCGGGAATTTTACAAGTTCCGTTGATTCTAGTAACCCCAGAACAATTAATTTGCTACTCAAATTAGCTCCATGGCAAATAAATGAGATTTAGTCTTTTTACTTGAGTTTTCTCCCATGAAGGGAAATTTTTGCCCGGGGCAAATATGATAATTGACACAATGTGGTCGATTTGTGTCAAGATCGTTTCATATTTGTCTTAAACCTCAATATTCGAAGCAAATATTTCTGATCCAATGTTTTATTTCTCCTTTTTTGGAAAGTTTTGTTTTTTAGCCAAAAAGGCACTCAGATCAGGTCAAAAAAGGCTCAAATATGGCTGTGGTACTTTTCGTGGTTTCGTTTCGACAACCAAATACTCCGGAAGATATGAAAGGCAGGGGGTACCCAGGGGGCAATCTCTTTGTCAATTCCAAGGGGGTAAATGTCAGTATTTATATGATGCCCATTTAAAAACTCCAAATACTTTGTTTCATATTTTAAGATCCCCAAAAATAGGCCTAACAGTTATATTTCTTTTGGTACAAAATTATCTCAGAGTCAGAGACCAAAAATGCTGAATTTACTCAGTTATCCATATACCCTAATTATTATTTTAATGTACATTTTCAACCCCCAAATTTCAACCCTCAGATCCCTCACATTGAAAGGTATAGATACCCCCCTCGGTGCAAAAGATCCTCAGCCCAATTGTGTGCAAAAGCTAGAAATTTAGTCAAAACAATAGAAATTGAAAGATTTGTTTATTTTTCTTGTTGCACTCGGGCTTTGACCTCCTTGGTAACCATTGCCTACCTGCAGTGTGCTAGCCAAGTTTGCAACCGTGGCCGAATTTTCAATAGCCCCTCTGCTTTTATTGTCAATTACCTCAGTGTCAAGACTAAGGACACAAGTCTCAATTCAAATGACCGGAACACAATGTTGTGTTTATGGGAGATTTAGCACCATGAAGGGGCAGCCTGCAGATTATGGCAAATTGTACAATAAGTTTATCCCTCTTCACCTTGCTAGAGCTTTTAAAGGGAACAGGGGCTTTGTTATCTGTTCACTCCCATCCCTGTTTGGACAATAACTGGTAAATTGTTTTCTCCAAGGCATGACAACATCATCTGCTGTGGCAGATTTGGGCAAGCGGCTCTTAGAGGCATCACGTAAGGGCAATGCTGAAGAGGTTCGTCAGCTCATGGCCACTGGTGCTCCAATAACAACAGACTGGGTTTGTGGCTATTGCAAACTTTACCTTGTTTTGTTTTTTCCACTGTTCCACACTTAATAAACTTTTAGACATGTGATCAAGTTAGAATGGCTATTTTTGAGGGGACTTTGGGCCCTTCACCCAAGCCAAACAGAATTACCTCTTTGGCATTTCTAGAAATACAACTCAAAGTTGATAGAAAATGGTTTAAAGTAATTAGGAGGTAAATAGTTTGCAGAAGGTTCCCTGTTGACTTGATAAAATTTGATTTACAAATATCTTTGGAACCCCTTTATCCAAAAAAGTTATTGTAAGGTTAGTATGCAGACATTCAGCACAGAGCCTTTGCAAGTGTTACCAAAGGTTGCAGGGGCTGCCCTTAGCCGAAATGGCAATTAACCCATGAGAATTCAGAGTCCACAACTTAATAAAGAATCAAAAACCATATTTTCTTTTAATGTGAATGATAAAAATCAGGGTTAATTTCATTTAATAGTAGTAGATAAGGAACATCACAACACGATGGGAATAAACAACAACAAACACACATAAATCAGTTATGGCTAATATTTCGCCCTGGCATATAGGGCCTCATCAGGGCAAAAGTAAACAAAATTTCATATGTCATTGATTATTTCAGCTTGGCACTTCTCCATTACATCTTGCGGCACAATATGGCCATACTGTGACTGCTGAAGTCTTGCTCCGTGCAGGTGTGAGCCGAGATGGCAAAACAAAGGTTATATAACTTAAAAATTTTTATACTTTTTTTGAAAAATATTAAAAATGATTTAGAAGTTGATTTTTTATTTTATCTTTTTATTAGATTTTGATGTCTTTTTCATCTTTTGATGTGTGAAAATGTGACAGTTTTTTGTTTATTTTCATTTAACTTTTTGATGGGTGTTTTAGGTATAGCATGTATTGAAGTCTTATATTTTGAAAATTTGTAAATTCAAGGGGGTGGGGTTATTAAATTTTAATTCCCAAGGATAGGCTTATACAATTTGGGTCAAGTCAAGAATTTACAGTATATATTTACATTGTAAGGTTCCATAGCATTATTGTTTCATCCCATTGATTGCCCTGGTTATTTGAATCTTGAGAGACGTTCTTGTTCTGTTAATATAGCTTCTGTCTTTTTGTATGTTGTTCTTTCATGAAGGTTTGGTTAAGGATCTGAGAAGATTCTGTTTCTTTTTAGGTTGATAAGACTCCTTTGCACTTAGCTGCACAGCAAGGACATGTTGAAATTGCACAGATGCTGGTTAAATATGGCGCAGCTATCAATGCTGTTGATATGGTATTAAATGATAATTGATCAATCACTTTTGATAGATTGATTTAGTGATTAACTGATAACAAAACTGGCTTGTTTCACTGTTAAAGTAATTACAGTGCAACCAATTTTTGTCACTCTCAAAAGATCATAAAACTATCTAAAAGTTTTGGGTTTTAAAAAAGATTTTATATTGCCTATCTTTTCATCAAAGACGAAAATGGCACTCAATAATACAGATCAGAATATGTTGATCCAATGATTTGATTGTTGATTTTAAATTTATTCTCTAAGATTAAGGTATTTAAAGCAAGAGTAAGATTTATAAGAGCAAGCAGTTTGAAATATGTTTATCAAAAATAGAGGTCATTGTCATGTTATTGTTCGCTGATTTGATTTTCACTGTATGTGATCAAAAAATCAGCTAAATATGTCACTAAATTCTTGCAATCACACTTTATAGTTTCATTGATTGGGTAATAATTGGTTGGTCAGTGTATCAACTGATTGAAAGATTGCATCGTATTTAATCTGCCATGATACCCTTTGAAGCGGAGCAGTTGATGAACAATATTCTGAATTGTGGCAGTTAGAGATTAACTGATTCAGAGCTGGCTCAACCCCTTTGACATTAATGAAGACCCAACTTGATTTGATGATTCACTGAATGATTGCAATGATAATCATTTGATTATAATGATTGATTGATCACACCCCTGATTAAATGATTCCTTGTCAAATCACTACTGTTTGATTCCCACGATACAGCTTACAATGACACCACTACACTGGGCTGTTGAAGCAAGGAGCCTTCCAATCTGCAGGTTGTTGATGGAAAATGGAGCAAGAACAGATGTGACAAATAAGGTATGTTCATTGATAGGGTTTTCATGATAATGCGGCAAAGAAGGGTATTACAGCTCTAACACTAGCGATTGAGTACAAAGACATTGCCAGAGGGGAGCCAGGGAAGCGGTGGCTCACCCCTTTAGAAACATGCAAATAGATTTGTTTAAAAGAGAGGGTTCTCTATTTTTAGATCTTAAACATGAAAGCTGAACCTTTGTGTAAAATTCTGTTCATGGCTATTCCCTAACCTCAACTGCCCTCACCAGGAAGACATTAGTTTATCAACAATTTCTACATATCTATGTCAATGATATGTCTTAATCCGTAACTCGAATAATTCAACAGTGTCCCAACCTAAGTAACAATATCATAGCTCCATCTAGATTTAGCCCCCCTCCCACCCCCCTAGCTTCTTAATTTATTTAGTAAATACTTAATTTGTGTTTTGAAGCTTTGAAATAAAAAATCCAGTAATTTGGAAGTTAATAATTTTAACAAGATTTCAGTGAGAGGATAAGAGAAGTCAATTACGTTTCGAGATGAGAGTGTGTGCAATGTCTGTTGAATTTCTCCTGTATTGTCGCAGGAATTTTAGAGATAATTCGTTCACTTTGTTTGGTTTTTCAGTTTGGCAAAACACCCATAGACATCGTCAAATCCAACGGATTCAACGAACTTTTGGATGTCCTCTTGTCCATCGCTTCTGTAAGTTACCATCTAATTCTACCAAGTTGAAAACAAGTTTTTCCTTTGTCTTGATGTTTTGATGTCAGTAATATTCTTTCAAAAAGTTGCCTATGCGTATTCAATTTTGTTTAGTAACAGAAAGCCGCATGTCTTTGTTCTTGTTTTTATACCAAAACAGACAAATGACAAACAAACTTTTTTCTTTTTTCTCAATAAACCCCTAGACTAGCAAACTGCATCGTGCTTTTTGTAAAAGTGCGATTTGTAATTATCGTTTAAGTTGAATTGAAAGTATAAAGTTTTAATTCTAGTTTGTCAGATAAGCCGTCGTTTTTGTTACGATATTTTAAGTTTTGTAAACAATTTGATTCGTTCGAAATGATGACGCTGCCAAAATCTATTTTTGAAATTTTCGGATTCCGGCCGCATAACTAGCCACAGTATTATAAAATGCCACAAAAACTGAAAAATCCGCTAAATGTGTTTCAAAATTGCCGAGACTTGGTCAAGACCATATGAAATGTTAGCACAAGCCTTTTCCGCAACAATTCGATGTTATTTCTTCTTGGTCCCAATATCCATGAACGCGGCCAAAATAACATTTCATATATTCACATACCTTTTTCCTTCACTTGCTATGTCCCAGTCAAGTTGCAAAAAATTTATAACTGATGTTGCACGCAAAGAGGAGTTTCTTAGTGCTCCGTCAGGTTAAATAATTTGATAACATCGCACTTTGACAATCATCTTGAGCTTTTGCCAAGACTCCTTAGAAAACACTTTAAACTTTGGGGTGGTTTTCAAAATTAAATGTTTAGAATGGAACTTTTCATGTTTTTAACTCGTCCGAAAACAATTGCTGGTTGAAAAAGCTTTAAGTATCTACCCTATGGTATTGAAGGACTTGAAATTTATGTGACTGATATTTTTCATGCACTTAAATGGTGGAACCAGGCCAATAAATAAGTTAATCTTTGTTTAGACGAATCTTTAGAAGAAGCAGCAAGTTATACGCATTCAAAATTGTGGAAAAACGTCAATTTATCTACCCAGACAATTGTTACATCAAACAATTGTCAATATTTCTTAAAAGTGTTCTTTACTTTCGTTTTAGAGCCCTCAAGAAAACGGGGGTAAACGGATTGGTAAGTAGCTGGAATTAGTAACAGTTTTCCGGGAGTTATGTTGAGGAATGCATTCGATTATGCGGGATTCTGCAGATTCCCGCAGATGTTGTTTGAAAATATTTATTACCAGTGAAACTCTCTTTCTTAACGACATTCAAACTATGTTTCATTAATTTTTGTTTCGATGCTAAAAGTCTTGTAAAGATTAATGTAAGGAGATGATTTAGAACTAAATGTGGTGTAATGGATGTAAGAATGAGGGAAATATACTAATTAGTAAGTAAATAAGTAAAAAGACTGATGGAAAGGAGACAGGGAAAGAAACCAAGGGTTGAAGTGAATAAAACAAAAATTGATCGCAAAATAGAAAATATGAAAGATAAAACAAAATTAATAGAAAATGGAGAAGGGAATAAATTAAGGTAGAAGAGAGAAAAGTACGGAGAACGAGAGACATAAAGGCAGAAGTTTAAAAATGAATTACTTGAGTCCATTTAGTGAATTATTATGCCTCATTTTATAAAGCTGAAAAGTGAAGTGCTGTTTTAAAGTCAAGTCAAGTTGCAATTGTTTAAATTTCAGGCCACAAAAATGACTACTCCTTGTTTTTGGAACACAAGAAGCGCATGCGAACTCGAAAATTTCCGATGACCGCTGGATCATGGACAGTGGGCGAGATGCAGTCAGGTAATTTTCCTTTAGCTTCTCCGCACGTGTTATTATTATGGGCGAAAACAGTGAGTGTTTGTATCAAGAAGAATATGTGGAAAAGTAGTGAATTTACTGTTTTATACCAGTTTGTCATCAAGTGCTTTTTGCCGTTTAAGCAGAGCTGTACACATTTGCCGGATGATCGCATTGAAAACATGAAACTCGGAATAGCTGCTTAAAACTGTTCTGTTCTATCTTATCCAAGCTTTACTCTTTTCACCAGACCGTCCAATGCAACGTGCACAATAGCACTCATCGCAGAACATTAAAACAGTAACATTTTTGTACTACTATAAATAAACAGATATATAAAACTAAATGTTTGCTTGATGATCGCATTAAATGCATGAAACTCGGTTTTGCAACTTATAACTGCCCTTTTCTATACACCAAATTATTTAAAGAAGTATAACGATATTCTAATTAGGTTGTCTGCTTGTAAATTTATCAGCTTTCTCGCCTCTTCAGGCCTAAGGTCATTAAATTTATCCCAGTTTAACTTCGTTCTAGCAAAACGAATTTGTTTTATGAACCAAATTACTGTCTACAAATCGGCGGGTCACATGACATTGCAATCGTAGAGCTTGACCTCGCTGCTTCACCTTTGACCTTTATGACGGTTGAAACCCTTAGATGACTTTGGTTGTGGTTTTGTTGCTAGGAAACCAGCAGCTTTGGGTTGGAATCTGCTGAGAATAAGCGCAAATGAATTAAATCCGCACAGAGTAAACTTGTCTGGTTTTAGTCCATTAGACAGATATTCAGTGCGTGCTGAATAAAGTTTCTGAAGAATAATTGCTCTTTTGAAATCATTGATAATTTTCAGGTCATCAGTCTGAGGTCTGAAGCTGCCAGCCAGGATGTTCTTCACGGTCATACAGTGAATTAAAATAGAACGTTTTCGAATTGGCAATAAAAACGTCGTTGCATCCATTTATGTAGGGGTTGATGTATTGGTACAACCCAGGGGCTGTTGATGTATGGGTGCAACCCAGGGGTTGAAGGTACTTGGATCTGGTCGTGGAAAGCGCACAGAAGGGAGTCGCCCCTTGTATAACCCCTTCTGGTTTGGGAGTAAGCCAATCGTCACCAATCATTCATTTATCGATCATAATCTTAAAAGTGTCTTGACTTAAAAGTCCCATTTGCAATTGTAAGGAAGGAGACAAATCCACAACTCTTTTCTTCTGCACTGCCCACTCCATTTAGTTCATAGAAATTACCTGCTTGGTGAAGTATCAGATATACTCAATGAGGGTGTGACGCAATTGCCTGACGATCATTTATGCAATTTCTTACTTTTTGGCAGTCTAAAATTCAATAAAATAGCTAATAGAACGATTTTAGGTGCTACTGTAAGGTTTTTAGTTGACACGAATCGTTTTAAATGAATTTCGCCGTACGATAAATCAAGTTGTTTTGCCCTTGAATCTCTGTCTTTGTTGTTATTTGCATCCGTTTAGTTTTAATTTTGTATAAATTAATAGAGGTAACACGATAAAGCATGTTTTTTACCTCTAATTCAGCACACTAAAATTTTTTTTGCGTTAATTGATGAAAAAAGTATCTTGTGCAACCAGCATCATTAATGGCAACTGATGTTTAAACGAGAAGAAGCGGACTGTATTTTGTATTTTCACGCAATGAGATAGTAGGCCGGTTTGAAAATAAAGTTGCAAAGCATGCCGGTTGCGATACAGCCTTAACGCCTGATTTCTACAGAAACCTTTTTCTTGTGAATTGTTCGCATTTCTATGAGTTTTTCTCAGTAGAGTCAGGCTTTCTGAAAATGTTCCATTGCGATTAATGTACAGGTGATATTTAATTTGTCTCCTAGGAGACAAGGAAGAGAGGCTGAAAGCAAAAGAGCCAAAGTTGATGACGAAATTAAATGACAATGCATTTATCCCTTCGAGCGAACGAGTTGAAGCGACAGTTGCAAGCAATTTGTCGTCTCTTGTTGACGCGGCAGCTTTGGTGAGATCTAAGGTGCAAGGCACGACGGGAAGTGGCAGGAGCGTTTCATGTAAGTTTCATTGCAAAGTTGCTTCAGAGTTGTAAGAATGTTGTATGTATGTTTTGTAGCAAAATCATTTTGTTTTTTCTTTGATATTTGTCAGTGTCATAGCTGAATGTTTTTTCTACCAATTAATGTCATCTTTTTCTGACGTAGCACCTGGCAGCTCTGTCGCGAGAGGTTCTTCCGAACCCAGCGTACTCGACACTCTTGCAACCTTGGCAACAGCCTCGACTCAGATGACAACATCTGCATGTGAGACTAATCAACAAGGGCCGAAAACAGCTGCACACACTGTCGTTCCGAGTTTTGTAACAATTCCCGGAATACAAGGTCCGGTCCAAATCGTCCAAGCGAATCCGAATCAACCCGGAATCATCCATCAGAGCCACCTTGCGTCACCCTTGCCCCCTGGAATGGTTCAGCTCGCTTCACCTTTGGCCTTGAACATTCTACCAGGGGGTAGATTTCCGGTATTTATCCATCATTTTCACAGTCCTATTACAAAATCAACATCATTTCTGTTTTATTAAACCGGAACCGAACATTGTAAAACAAACTGTTTATCGTTACCAGCATAGATTAAGGGATCTTGTAAGAGTTCTGTTATTTTCCCTTTATTTTACCTTCGGTTCATTACTTACAATTTATTCTTGAACATTGTTGCATTATAGATCGGACAACCAATTGTTCCGGGCCATCCACTTGGAGTTCCGTTCCAGATGCCACTCCAGTCGCCCGGAATCCCAGCCGGACATTTTGTTGCTGTTAGCAGTGGTCAGAATTTCGCTGTTGTTAGCGGGATCCCCTCTGGTCAGGTTCTTTCCAAGCCTGGAAATGTTACTGATACAGGTCAAAGTCAAGGGGGCACGGTTGTTACTCCTGTAAGTAATTTTTCGTTTGCATCTCGCATAATTATGAAAGATACTTTGACATAACATGGCAAATATCTTGTTAATTTCAGAAATCAGGACCAAATTACCGGGATTTTCTGTATTTCAATATTATTTTTCAGTAAATTTTGTCCAATTTGAACTAGAATTGTATTTCAATGATATCATCATTTGGTACTGTATTTTTTCGTCTCAGATTGCTCCTTCACAGCTGACATCCGCCTTCCAGTATGCTAACATCGGTTCTGGCTTAACGCCGATACCGCTTGTACCTGTTGCGGGGATCGGCGGAATACAGTTAGTGCCGCAGGTGAGGAAGATATAATTATCATCGTTGATGTCATCATCCCAAAATGTACTAATACATGTTGTAGTAATATGGAATGAGAGAGAGAGAGAGAGAGAGAGAGAGAGAGAGAGAGAGAGAGAGAGAGAGAGAGAGAGAGAGAGAGAGAGAGAGAGAGAGAG